CTTAGTCTGGCACAAGGCCACTGTAATGAAGTACCCTTGTGAATTGGCTGGCGAGAAAAATTTGATAATCCTCATGTGATATTACCATATTTTTTTAATTGGTATCACCCCAAACAAGGGAGTAAAGCCACTAAAATGCAAGGGGTTACAGGATGTGGAAGAATTAGGAACAGAAACATTAAAAATGAGCAGAGAAAGAAAAGAGTAATCAGGAGAACAGCAGATAGCAATTGACATTACATTTAAATTTTTGCAGATTAAAATTGGCTGGAAAGCAGGGAGCAGGAAGGGAGTTCCACAAGTGAGAAGTGTGAGAAAAGAAATGACACTTCATTTTCAGTTTTTATGTTTTAAATGTAGATAGGTCTCATTCTAGAAAAAAAGTACAAATGAAAAGTAAAATAAATAAAAAAAATGAACAAATAAAAATAAAATAAACAACTAAATAAAATGATAATAATAATACTAATAATGATAATAATAATAACAATCAAAGCTAACTGCCCAGATATTGTTATTAGAGACTGCAAACAAAAAAGATACCCCCTTATTGATACAACAGTCCCTGCAGGCTGCAATGTATCTTTGAAGATCTTCAAAAAGCTATCAAAATATAAAGACCATGAAATTGAAATCTCAAAAATGTGGCACATGGAAACATCAACAATCCCTGTTGTAGTTGGATCCCTTGGATTGGTTGGAAAAGATTCCAGTAGACTTATTGAAGGGATTCCTTGAAGCCCATGCCTTAAAGAAATACAAAAAATTGTTCTCACGAGTACAGCCCACACTTTATGAAGGGCTTTCTCTATGTAAAATATGTGTGTGATTATTTCATTTTTTTAATTTGTCAGTGAAAAATGTCATGATGCTATTTCTAACCTTAGGTCTCTGGGTAGGACCCGGAAAGAAATGTGTAAACGCCAGAAATCAAAGGAAATAAAAATAATAATAAAACTAACAATAATAATAATAATGATAACAACAATAATAATACTAATAATGATAATAATAATGATAGCAAAAATAATAATACTATTAAACAAAATGACAGAAATACCGCCTCCAATATTTTTCATTAGAAGAGCGCAATTTGAGAAAAGAAAAAGAAAAGAAAAAACAATTGAACAATATTAAACAATATTTCAACAAAATGTCTGTCTTGTTCAAGTTATATTTAAATTTTTTCAAATATAAAAATATATAAATCTACAAAAAATTATAAGTGTTTGTACAAATGTTATACAAAGACTTACAACTTTTTGTAGATTTATATATTTTTATACTTGAAAAGAAAGTTTTTAAAAATATAACTTAAAGACAAACATTCTGTTGAAATATTGTCAAACTGTGTTTTTTCTTTTCATTTTCTTTTCTTAAATCATGCTCTTCTCTTAATACCACTAATAATAATAATTTTACATTTAAAAACAAAGTAAAATACATTTAAAATCTGTAGATCTTAAAAAGAATATTCCTTTTATGAGAAGATCAGACAGACATTAATAGCCGTGCATTTTTTTTATTGAGGTAGGACTGGAATTAATCTTGCATGGAGTAAGATGGGTCAGTTGTAATTGATTATATGTTATAATGATTTGAGGCAAAACTTTTACAATGGTCTTCTTGATGCCCAACTCAGACACTTACAGGAGTGTTTTTATTGAAACACTATTTCTAGGAAGGTAGCCATTCAAGACTTGAGACCTAACCATCCTAACCATATATATATAATAATAATAATGGACTCTCCCGTCGGTTTCAACGTATGAGGATCTGACAGCTTATTGATTCAGTTATGAAAATTTGTGCGATAATCTTAAGTGGCATTTAAGACCCGCTAGTGATTTACAAAGGAGGCCACATATGGAGCAAGTGTGAGGATTATGAGATGAGATCACTGTTAGATTGGCTGACCTTTTAGATCTTGCTCTCACTTCTTGAAGATGATTTAGACAAGCAGATTGAAAATTGCTGAGTTCACTAAAACACGTCGATCTCCATTCTACCCACTCCAAGGCTAAGCGCTCAAGGGTGTTATGTGGTATATTGACTGCTGACAATTTGCTTTTCAGCTTGTCTTTGTATCTTAGCCATGAGCATCCTACATTCCTGTATCCCTGATCTAACTGGCTGTACATTTTATATATATATATATATATATATATGTATGAAAATTTCAGATAGAGTATATCTATAAAAGGACAATATGAATAAAGACAAAAGCAAAATTTATCTTAATTTCATCCTCTGACCCTCCAGCAATCACTCCGTCCACTCATCAGGGGATTTGGCCATTGGCTCCTATACAAAGCTCCTCTGCCCTTTAACATGTCTTGCTTTTTGTCCTCTGGAGTGACATGCCACTCACCTCACCAGCACAAAATATTCAATAAAAACATTGTAAAATTCAGCTACAGTTGTACTGAGAACATGGCACAAATGAATCCTGTTTCATGTCTTTAAAGAAATAAATTTATTTTTTCTATGTTTGAATGCAATTAACCAAAAATTTAAATCAAAATGAATATAAAATAATTATAATTTTAATTAAAGTAAATTTATCTTCTTTTCATCAAAAAATCCAACAGGATCATTTTTTTCTGCAGAGCAAATTCTGAGCATCCTTTCAAGTAGCTTGTAAATTTATGTTGGGTCAAATGATTCCCAAGCAATGTGTAAATGTGTAAACAACTCTTGTTTATATACTTAGGCAGTTCACTTCAAAATTTACGTTCTATTTCATCCCAGATTAGTACAATTGGTGGAATATCTGGAAACCGAGAGGGATAAATCATGATTTGCAAAATTACCTTATCTTACTTTGATTTTAAATAATTTGTAAACAGTTTTGAGCTATGTTTTGGATCATGATCTTGTTGCAAAACAAAATTTTGCCTAATGATGCAGCAACCAGAAGGAATTTTTATGAATTTTTTAATTGATTTAGAGAGACAATTGAGGATGGTCCCAAACTTTTGATCAGTAGTGTATATATATATATATATATATATATATATATATATATGTCACAAATATAGAATGCATTCTAATGATGCATCTTTCACATGATTTATTTAACCTGTACAGTGTAGCGGCCGTATGTGTATTAGATGTTCTACTAGGGTTTATTATTGATGGGCACAGTCTTAATGCCATCATATATGCAGATGACACTGTGTTGATGGCAGACATGCAAAGAAAAGTGTGGGAACTCATAGACAAGATTGTAAAGGAAGGTGAGGGGAAAAGGGACAAGCCATCAATTGTAGGAAGACAGGAATTTATGTCTGTTAGCAAAACGGATAACCCAAGATGCGAACTACAAATTAAAAACAACAAAATCACACATGTATAGAAATTTAACTATCTAGAAAAATGTGAATTAGAAACCCAAAAGCATATTAGAATAGCAAAAGATGACTTCCAAAAACTAAGCAAAATATTAAGAAACAGGAAGATTTCATTATGAACAATGAAAAGTGTGCTGAAGAGTTATGTGATATCAATCCTCCTATATAGCAGTGAATGTTTTCACAGATGAATAGGAGATTTGAGACAACAGAGATGTGGCTCTACAGAAGAATGCTGAGAATATCATGGACTGGACATGTGAGCAGCAAGTAAGTTTTAAGGAAAATTCGAATGAAACGGGCACTTGTGCTTAGGTGCAGAAAATGTTAAAATTTCTGGCAGGCATAATGAGAAAAGTGTGCTTGGAGAATATCACACTCATAGGACAATGAAAGAAATGTAGGTACAGAAAAACAATGGACAACCTACCTAACAAACTTGTGTAAATGAATGGTAGAACCGGGAGGGATAGTACTGGACCAAACATTGCTTAGAGCTTCAAAAGATAGGAAATTGTGTAGAGCCATGATCGTACACATCCTGAAGGTAAATAGCACATAGAATATATATATATATATATATTTATAAAATGTTCAGAATCTTTTCTTTTCTTTTTTTATTTATTGATTATAAAGATTGAATTAGATTGTTTGGAAAATAATGTCCAATCTTAAGATAAATCTTTTAATTGTGTTCTAATAAATTATCATAATAGTTGCACAAAAATATATTACCAATTCCTAATGATTAAGGTGTCCTCTTTGTTAGTTTTATATAAATCTCCTACTGAATGTTGTTCTGAAATATGTGGCGCATCCTGTGTATATACTGGAAAATAGTATTAGGTTGTTCGGAAAATATTGTCCGATTTGAGAATAAACCTTTTAATTGTGTTCTAATATATTATTATAATAGTTGTGCAAAAATATATTACTCATTCCTAATGATCAAAGTGTCCTCTTTCTTAAATTTATAGCAATCTTTTTCAGAATCATTTAAAACAGTATGTTGCCCTCACCTTGAACATGAAAAAGGAAGAGCTGTGTTTACTTTCTTTTGCATGAAGTTTGGCCAAAATGCCTCTCAAACTGCTACCAACATTAACAGAGCATGATGTGAAGGATCCAATGTGATCAGACATTATGGTGCTGGTTTCTGAAGTTCGATAGTGAGAATATGAGTCTTGAAGCTGAAGATGGTAGACATCTGAACATACTAGTTGAATAAAACCCACATCAAAGTGTCATATAATCAGCCTTTCAACAATATCTGACCATCTCAAGAAAACTGGAAAGGTGAAGAAATTCGATGAGTTCCACATTAACTTAGTAAAAGTCAAAATTCAACATTTTGCCATGTGTTTAATGCTTTATCTGCAAAATTTAAATGCTGCTGTAAAATCAACATAGCAGGTAACAAACAGCTTCAGTTGGAATTTGGGCATGGCTCAATGGCTCTGTTATAGCAACTGTAGTTCTAATAGTCTTTAGAAATGACTTAATAAAGATCACCAAATGCAACATAAATCTGAGGAAGGCTGAAGCATAATTAATGCATGTAATTTATCCTTTAGTCACCTTAAATCTATCTAGGCCCCACCTGTTAAATAGAATTTAAGTCTAAATTTTTGGGCGGCCATTTTATAGTGCACAACATTTTCTTTTCTTTTCTTTTCTTTTCTTTTCTTTCTTTCTTTCTTTCTTTCTTTCTTTTTTCTTCTTTCCTTCCTTTCTTTCATTACTGCTTTCTTTCTTTCTTTCTTCTTTCCTTTCTTTCTTTCTTTCTTCTTTCCTTTCTTTCTTTCTTTCTTTCTTTCTGTATTGCTTTCTTTCTGTATTGCTTTCTTTCTGTATTGCTTTCTTTCTTTCCTTTTTTATTTCTTTCTTTCTTCCATTTTTCTCTTTTCCTTTCTTTCTTTTTTTTGCCAAATAAATTCTACAAAAATTTGACCTGTGACTTACATCATTGTCTTCATGAAAATAAAATCTGCTGTCAATAAGTAGAGGACCACTTTGTAGTGCATTCTTGGTTCCGATTATATTTTCTACTATCAGTTATGCTACTTAACAAGTAGATAAGACCTTCAGCAGTGAAACACTTCCAAGTAAAGAAACTATCCTCCCCCACACTTAATAAATGAGATAATATATTTTGGATTATATTACTCTTCTTTCCTTCTCCTCACCCACTCCCTTCAGTTATAATCAAATGGTTCAAATTTGGATTCATTTGGTTAAATAATTGTTTAGCTGTCCATTTTCTGTATTTTCTGGTAAATTTGTGTCATTTAGTTTTGATTTCTCTTTTAGGCATTTTTTCTCCTGCAATTCTTCCAGATAATCCATAATTTATTATTATTTTAGAAACAGTTGAATTGGAAATTTTTATGGTCTGGTTGCATTTCTTTAGCAATCTGACAAACGTATTTTCTTTTTATTCTGCAAACTCATCATCTACACTGTTATTATGGGCGGATCTTCAGTAACTTCCTCTTTGCTAAAACTGAGAACTATACACCGAAGACTAAATTTGTCTTCTTGAACACAATATATAGCCACAGTAGTGAAATGAGATGCATCATTTGTCTGAAATCATTACTGCCATTAATTTCCAAAGCTTTTCCATTTATTTAGCATAGATTCTTAAACCTTTCTGTAAGTTTTATCTGTGGAAAAGTCTATAAGTCTATTCCCACATTTCTATTAGTCTGATTTCTTTACCATTAACAGACCTTGCACATTTGAAAAATTCAAGGAGTCCTTCACAGTCCTTTTTCTGGCTCTAAAATTTCAAAATTATGAAGGATCTTCAAGGTCACTGAGGCTGGATATTTTTCTTTTCTGATGATGTCCAGGTGGACATGGTATTTTGTGTTCTTTCTTTCTTTTTCTTTTGCTAATGTTCATCAAATACATGGCTCAAGAGCCACTCAAAATAGAGGGTTACTGAATGAGGTAAGTAGTATGGATTTAAGAAAAGAAAGCCAAAATTGAAGATTAGGAGGATATGGAGAATATATAACAATTGAACCTGAACTTGGAGAGGATAAGATTTTAGCATTAAAGGAAGCATCCAAACAGGAGTCTGTTCCTCAAAGAAGCCGTTCTTGGGTAGAAGCTGTCTAAGTGAAACTTCCTTCTTACTAATGGAATATGAAGAGAATGAGGATGATTTGACCCTAGGATCGTGGCATGGTGGGTTATAGCTGTAAAGGTCTGAACTGGTGGAACTAAAGAATGGAGCTTGTCAGAACATTTGCCATGGGAACCAATAGAGTAGTAATAGGCTTGCAATGTTATATCTTTGGGAATGGCATTGCAGTGTGAAAAATAAGTCATCATTCCAAAGGTCGTATAACTGATTTTAAACTCTGTCAAGGCTGGAAAGCAAGGATTAGGCAACTCTAGTTGAGATATGACAGCAGTATTCAATTTTTGGTCTGATTTCTTTCTTGAAATGATCAGCATGGCTGGGGGAATCAGCTAATTCTTGGAGCAGTACAAGATCATTTTTACAGCATCTTAGATTATGGATTGTATGTATGAGTTCAACAAGGTTTTTTTTGAGCAGTCAATCCTCCTCTAAGTTCCCTACAGATAAACTGTGGTATACTGTTTAGAGAGAGGAGAGGGATGACAAGGATGATGAAGAGTAGTGGGTGTAGTGATAGTTTAAAAAGATATTTTGAAAGGAAGAGAAGTTTTTAGAAATTATAGTGGAGAAATAGGTTCTGTTTCCATTGTTCTGGTGCCATTGTTGTTGCTTCCTTTGCCATTGCAGGTGCAGTTGTAAACTATGGGTAAGACAGGTTGAAGGAAGAAGCAATCACCTCTGTTGACCTGCACTTTGACTTACCTTATCTGTTGATTAAAAGGACACTTTAGGGACATTATTATTATTATTAATAAATGAAAATAGAAATATAAAATAATAATAATAATGAATATCATAAATAGCATAAAATAAAACAATAACAATAAAACTTTGTTTAAAATAAAAAATAAAAATAAAAGGTTCTCCCAGCATGCAACAGGAACTGTTCCTGTTGGAAAACAAACTTCCCACTAAAAGACATTGAATTCAGTCTCTTCACTACTGATCATTAGAAAGTCAAGACATCCAGTTTCTCTCTCCACATCAATGACTTCTCCCTTTTATCACATGCATCCTTAAAACACATGTAACCAAAAATATACCTACACCAGTACACAAAATAAATACATTGTATGATTTTAATTTATAATTTAACATGCTGAATAAATGTGAATAAACTCGAGGCTATCCCTGCTGGTGTGATGTGAGTGAACTCGAAGCTATCCCTGCTGATATGATGTGAGTGAACTCGAGCCTATTCCTGCTGGTATGATGTGAGTGAACACGAGGCTGTCACTGCTGGTATGATGTAAGTGAATTCGAGGCTATCCCAGCTGATATGGTGTGAGTGAACTCAAGGCTGTCACTGCTGGTATGAAGTGAGTGACCCCACAACATCCTTCTTTTCACATCCCAGAATGATACAGTCACCACATCTTTTTATTCTGTCTGCATACCATTGTGAGGTTTTCTTCTTTAGAACTGTCTATGTTTTCTAAATGTGATTCAATAGGGACTGGCAAACTTATGTCTATACTTTCCTCATACACTTTCTTACCACCTTCCACTTGTCCTTAGACTTCTTTAGTATTACCATGATATTTTTACATAATGAAGATGTTCAGGTAGAGATGGTGCAAAAGTTTGTCTTTACATCTGGACAGGTTTTCTGTCTAGAGGTAGTAGGTCTGACTATTACAGCTTTCTTTTCTACAGCTGAGGTGAATGAAAAGGGATCTTGAGCCATGGGAATCTTCTTTCTAGAGTATTTCATACACTACCTCCTTCTTGAGACAATGAGTGACATTGATGTCCAAGTACTTAGGAATGGAGCTGAAGTATTTCAATCAGTCATACAGTCAGAACTCATGGCCACAATTTTCACAAACTGCAGAAAATATACAAACAAATGAATTCCAACATGTAGTTAGTGACCTCATAGGATGTATGTACATCACTGATGTTGATATTTTACACAAAACAGTATTCATTATATCTCAGATAATACAGGAATCTCTTTACTTGTCAATATTTTTCATTCAGTATTAATTACTGGGATTAAACATTATCCAGTAAAAATTTTAGATATTGCTTTACCAATTCTGCCATAAGAACCTTCCAACTACAGACAATCAAATCTAACCATATAGCCATTCTTTACCTTTCTCAACTGCCTTCCAATTTTATATTTGTATGCCATATTTCCCACTACAAGTGATAAGACACACCCTATAATTAGTTAGGTATTTCTGGGTAAGAAAAATATTTGAGGATTTAATAGCAAATTCAAGTTGCCAATTTTATAGTGTTATTTTTCTCTCTGTCAATACAAATTATCATGTTTTGAAACTATTATTAAATATTTGTGCTTATTATTGATTAGATTTTCAATAGTTTAGCACAATTCTATAACTATTCACTTCAAAAACAAATTGTACTTCCTGCTACAAGCCACAATGTGTCTCAACACATGGTGTGTGTTTACATCCAACTCTCCATTGATGTTTCAGGGCTGCATTCAAGAAATGGTGTGTGTTACTTTTGCATTGTCATTACCACAGTCCATTATTACTGTATGATTATATTATCAACTATCAATTTGTAATATTACAATAATTAATATTACCTAATTGAGTCTAATGAATGATAGATTTATGGCACCGGCAGGAAGCTGCCTGCTGGTTATCATCAATAAAAAAACAATATATATGGTACAAAGGATATAATAATAATAATAATAATAATGGACTCTCCCGTTGGTTTTGACATATGAGGATCTGACAGATTAGTTGATTCAGTTATGAAATTTTGTGCAATAGTCTTAAGTGGCATTTAAGACCCGCTAGTGATTTACAAAGGAGGCCACATATGAAGCAAGAGTGAAGATTGTGAGATGAGATCACTGTTAGATTGGCTGACATTTTAGATCTTGCTCTCCTGTCTTGAAGATGATTCAGACAAGCAGATTGAAAAATGCTAAGTCCACTAAAACATGTTGATCTCCATTCTACCTGCTCCAAGGATATACAGTATTTATTATATATATATATATATGATAATTGTAGACTTATATTATATGACTGGGGTTCATGATTGCTGGTATCTCATGACTGGGGGGGGGGTCATGTGGGTTGGCAAACTCCTCTCTACCACTTGTCTTTTCAGTGCTAAGATAGAGGGTGATTTTTAAGGGCATTTTTCAGGAATAAGAAGCTTCTTAGCATATGGGAAATATGATAAGTTTATTTTTTTGTTTTTTTTATTGATTTTGACTCAAGCAAGGCAGTAAAGCCGCTAAGACACAAGGGGTTACTGGGTGTGGAAAAACTAGAAAACAGAAACATTACTAAGGAGCACGAACAAAAGAAGAGTAACCAGAAGGACTGTAGATAGCAATTGACAGTGCATTTAAATTTTGAAGATTAAAATTGACTAGAAAGCATGGAGCCAGAAAAGAGTTCCACTGTTAGCATAAAATTTATGGTTACATTTAGTCAACTCAGCTGTAAATTGATGTGATTTCAATGGCAGTCTCATACTGCACTTAAATTCAGAGAGTCTAGCTCCCATAGTGAAGAGCTTGTTACAAGAGACAAAATGTTATCTCCCCTTGACCAAACAAAAATAATAATGAAAATTAATTATAAATATTCCCAAGAATTAAAAACAGTCATGTGACCTGCACAAGATATCGTTAGGAGGAAAAGTCAATCTTTCTCTTTCTGCTCTATGAAGTTATAGAAACAGGACACACAATTTCACACTCATGACAAACTAAACAGATAAGTACAAAAAATTCATATTGTTTTGGTACATAGTTTTTGCAAGTAGATGCATACTAACTTTGTATTAAGCATTT